TCCGGAGGCCTTGCATCTCTGGCCTGTGACCCATCCTTCCTAGAAGTGACCAGAGATGAGATGGCAGCCAGCAGCCAGCTGCAGATGACAGAACTGGAGAAGGCAGCTGTGGAGCTGCTAAAGCAAAGAGAAAACCTTCAAGGCGTAGAAACCTGCTCTGCCCAGCAGGACACCTTGACCGCGTCATCACCCACCGCTCAAGGGCTCAGCACAGCCACCTCCCAGGACACCGTCTCCATCACTTGCCTGTGAACTTCCAATGCTGCCCAATGTGCACTGACCTCTTTCTGGTGCTTGCATGGGGGCTACTGGAGAAACGTCATGCTTCTATCCCTCTCTACCCTTAGAGCCACCCCTCTGTGCTTGGGCTCTGTCCCAGGGCGAGAGAAGGTCAGTTCTCTGCCCAGCAAAGGAAGGATATTTGGACCAGGTCTCCAGGATATTGGTAGCAAGACAGGACAAAGCTGAGTCAGCAAGGTCTTGCAAAAGCTAAATGGGTCATTAAAGTCTTCCTGCTGTGTGACCATATGGATCACCCTGTTCCCTCCTTTCTCTGCCGCCCTGGCCAGAGAGCCAGTGCCAGTTCACCCCAACCTGGGGAGGGAACTTTAAATGAGAGATCTTATTTAAGAAGATCTGGCAATGACTCGCATGACAGCTTCCACCCACAGGGTGCCGACAGAGATCTGCCCCTGATCTGAGGAATGCACACCCTAACCAGCCATTTTGGGAATGTGAAGCTTTGGGAGGCCCTTGGCATCCCCGGAGCCGCCACCCAGCAGCTGGACCTAGAGCCCTTAGGTCTGTGGTGGAGTCTATTTCTCTTGCTTATGGCTGAGTGTTTCCTGTGGGGAGCTGAATGAACGCTGTCAGAGGAATATGACTTTGGGGTAGATACTGAATAATGATTTATTTCTCTCCAGGAACAGGTCCGTCTAGGTTAGTGCTGCAGATTTCAGTGTTCCAGAAGGGATCTCACTGAGGCTTTCTCTTTGTCACGATCTTGCTCCAAAGGGCCTCCAGCCCAACCTAGCTGAATAATACAGGGCTTTTTTGCTAATATGTATTAAAATGCAGAGAACTGATGAGTCCCAGGGGAGGTATTGAATCAATAGAGCTTGTCTGTTCTCCAGCAGGGCATTTATTTGTTAACTTAATAAAAGAGAAATGGCTGTTGTAGAATTCCAGCTGCAGCCCGAGTCCTGCAAAGTCAGCCTTGTATATGGGGCATGCAGAGCAGACATCATTTCCCTGAGGGCATTCAGGCCATCAACAGGGATAGTGGTGGGGGTAGTCCTGGCACCTCTTTCTCCTGCTTCACTGCCATGGGACAGGACATATGCACACCACACATACACCAACACCTTAACCCATTCATGGAAGACGGGGGTAGGGGGTAGTTGCTAAGGTGTACCTGGAATCTGGCATCTTGAGGGAGCATCAAGGACTCATTTCGTTAGAAGTGGAAGGTGATGGTTTTCCAGTCCTGTTTGTGAAGAAATGGTACAGGACATATGTGCCACTTTCCTAGGTCAGAGGGGTAGGTAGGTGCTCCAAATAGGGAGGATAATATAAATGTGCCTGATCATTTTTGGTGCCTCTCTGTCCTCTCCCTAGTGTCTGTGGCTGCATGGAGAGCTAATCTGCTCAAAACTAGTGTTTGTGGGGATTCTCTGTGGATATGGTTCCCAGCGGAATCAGGGGACTGATCCGGCTAGTGAGAGAGGCTGGCACAAGGGTGAGGGGCAGAAATGCCTTGCAAGCATCTTCATGGCAAGGTCAATGCTCCTCTTTGCCCATGGCTTCATTGGGAAAGGGTCCACAACATCTTGTCTCCCCCTGATCACAGCAGGATGCTGCTGTCCAACACCAGCCGTACAGGATGGATCCACCTTTAGAAGGTGGCCCCTGGCAGCTCGAAGGTGGGAGGACCATGAGCTCCTCCCTGCCCTAGATGCTGCTTTCAAACAGGCCCCAAAAGACCAAGGAAGAGAGAAATGAGTCCCTGTTTGCCGGGCACCTCAGAAAGGGAGGGAGCACTGGGACACAGAGGGGCAGAGACACGGCTGCTGTGAGGAGAACATTGGCCAGACCCCAAAGCAAAGGGCAGGAGGGTGCAGTGCTAGACACGGCGCTGGGCTCAGCGCTGCCTCTGTTAGATTTTGACCATGAAAGCTGGAATATCTTGGTGTCGCAGAGCAGATGAGCAACTTCAACCGGGAAACAGACTGGATTCCTCTGATCAACACGTGGGAAAGGGATGGACTTCAAAGTGCCCCTTCCTCTGAGAGTGCTCCCTGCTCTGTCGCCTGCTCTGAATGGTTATGTTGGAGAGAAGGAAGAGGAGAGAACTGCTGAGAAAACAGACATAACCTGAGCTGTCCAGGCTGACCACCACTGCCCTAGACCTGCTCCAGGAGGAGCCCTAGAGGTGTCATTTCAGGGGGTGCCTGTGTTGCCTCCATCATCTTCTCATTGCTGCTGGTCTCCTAACCAGCCAAAGAGCTGCACGGTCCTGGTCTCTCTCCCATCACTTGTGACATCCAGTATGTCAGCACCTCCCTAGCGCAGGCAGTCTTCATTGGGACCATGGTGGTGGCAAGTTTGGTCCTGGGATGATGCTGGGCTGCAATTAACCTCTCTGCAAGGACAGATGTTTCCCTTGAGGGTGCCAGTTAGCACTGGTGTGACAGAAGTCAATGCTGGAATGGTCTTAGAAAAGCAGCACTGGGTGAAGCAGCTGCAGGGCCAAACACAGAACTCTTCCCTCTGAAACAGCTCAACATTGGAGGGACATGACAACAGGGGTGCAAAAGGGGCTGCTCTGATCTATTTCCAAAACCAAATCCAAATCCCTTCCCCATCTTGCAGCTGAACAACCAACCACTGCCACCACGAGTGCACAAAGCCAGATGCAGCTGCACTCTTGCCTACATATAGCTCTGAGGTTGTCCCTTGTTTCCCCAGCTTGTATTTAAGAAACACAGCAACTTCTTTGGGGGAAGGGGAATAGAAGGCGTCCATGGGAATGCTAGAGGTAGCATCCATTGGTATTGCCCCCTTCATCCTCCTTCTGAGGCTGGAGGGAGGAGCGGAGGGGGAGGACAGGGAGTGCAATATGGTAAGATGGTACTTTGATCCCTCCAATTCCTGCTCATTCCCGGGGTTCCAGATGTTGGGTGGTGTTTTACTGATGTTGGTGGCATTGGCTGGCACAGAACATGTGTTGCTTCTCCATCTTAGCTGCAGCCCAGGCATCCAGCAAGAAGTAGGTGGTTTCAGGCCCCGTGGCTCTGCCTGGGGAGGGGGAGAGGACAGCTACCCTGCTCTGAGACGTACCCAAAAGAGCACGGTGATCTGGATGGGATCTGATCCAACTAGCCCAAGCAGGACCAGGAAGGAGAGTCCCAGACCTAAGAGGAGGCAGGTAGGAGGGAGGGATGTGGTTGAGATTTACCCCTCTCCATTGCTCACAAAGGGGCCTCTGGTGGGTGGTAGCCATAAGGAGTGAGCCCAGGCCCTGGTAGAGAGGACAGCTACCCTGCTCTGAGATGTACCCAAAAGAGCACGGTGATCTGGACGGGATCTGATCCAACTAGCCCAAGTGGGACCAGGAAGGAGAGTCCCAGACCTCAGAGGAGGCAGGTAGGAGGGAGGGATGGGGCTGTGAATCACCCTTCTCCATTGCCCACAAAGGGGCCTCTGGTGGGTGGTGGCCATAAGGAGTGAGCCCAGGCCCTGGTGCTGCCTCACTGAGTCTACCACATTTCCAGCTTCTCTGAGACATAAAGTCATGAGGTTCCCCCGGGCCAGGATGAGTGTGGGTCTAATGTGGCTCCATGCACAGCCCCGTGGAGACCTCTCTGCTCTCGGGACTGCCCAGCTCCAACCACGCTGCAGGAAGAGCATCTTGGCCATCCCCTCATTTCCATGCACCAGCAGCCCCACACGGTAGCAGAGGGCAGCCGGGCTCCATCCTAGAAGAAGCTGCTCGGTAGCAACACGTTTTTAGGAGCAGACCGGGAGCTTTGCAAGATAAAAGCTCTTGCGAAATGAAAGCCAGAAACTCGGCTGTGGCCGTGTGGTCTGGCCCAGCTGCTCCGTCACTGCTGCCGAGCGGAGCAGGAGCAGGATCCCCGCGGGGGCAGGCGGCGGGAAACGGGCACCACGGAGCGGCTGGGAAGGGATATGGATATGTGGATATGTGCGTGTGTGTACATATATGTGTGTGTGTGCGTGTGTGTGTATGTATGTGCATATATGTGTGTGTGGTTGTGTGTGTGCGCCTGTGTGTGCACACGCATGTGTGTGTATGTATGTGCATATGTGTGCGTGCATCTGTGTGTGCACATGCATGTATGTCTGTGTGTGCATGTGCTTGTGTGCACACGCACATGCTTGTGTGTGTGCATGCATGCGTGTGTTTGCACAAACATCTATGTGTGACTGTCAAATCCGTGCGACAAGTGTGCGAGTATGAATATGTGTGTGTATGCATGTGAACATGTGAGTGGGTGTGGGAGTGTGAGCATATATGCATGTGTGTGCGTACATGGAGATGCACATGATAGAGGAGAGTGTGTGTGCCTGCATGGGTGCTTGTGCATGTGTGTGTGAGTACACACGTGCGGGGGCACGTGTGCATCTGTGTGTGTGTGCATGTCACACACAACCTCTACATGCACTCGCAGACCCCCCTCCCACAGGCACACGCACAGATGCGCACACACACACGTTCATGTGTGTGTAAATGTGTGGAAGAGCATGTGTACGTCTTCCTGCATGTGTGTGCACGCATGTCTATGCATGTGTGTATATGTAGAGGAGAGGATACACGTGACAGAGTTGTGTGTATGTGTGTGCACAAGTGTGCATGCCTTTGTGTGCATGCACGTCTGTGCATGTGTGTATATGTAAAGGAGAGGATACACATGGCAGAGTTGTATGTGTGTGCACGTGTGCATGCCTTTGTGTGTGCATGCATGTCTGCGTGTGTACGCATGCGTGTGTGCCTGTGTGTGCACCTCTGTCCACGTGTGTGCACGCGTGTCCGTGCCTGCCGCGTGCAGGTGTGCGTGACGGTCGGGTTTTGCGCATGTACGCGTGCATGCGCGTGCACGCGGCTGCGCGTTTGCGCGTGGGGGGGGAGGTGTGTGTGCGTGCACGTGCATGTG